AGGGGATGTCGCCGAAGCCCGTGGCTCGATGATGGAAAAATGGAAAATCTCAAGCTGCGAAAATCAGCAGCGACAAACGCGCTGCTTTCGTTCGCATTATTGTCAGGGCGATGTGGAGGATATTTTCTTGTGCGTTTGGAATTTTTAATAAACGTTAAAGTTTATAACATTCTCGGTCTACGTAATCTGTATGCCACATATCGACGAGTCAGGCTATTCCTAACAGCAAGAAAGAGAGACTTCTTGACTCGCTAAGCTGCAAGCAAAAGGTAATCCTGGGGCATAAAGAGTCTCACATAAAACCGACTAATTAGGCAAAGCATCTAATTAGACGCACAACAAGGACATGCGTCCTTTGTGCCGCCTCGTAAAAGCCAAAGCCCCGAATGACAGTGTCGCTAAAAATTCTTATCGCTGGCACCAAAATTAAGCCCCAACTGGGGAACAACAACAACAACAACGACAATAACAATAACAACAACAACGACCGAAAAGAACGAGGAAAGCCCGGAAAAAATTTATTGTGGCAAAGGTTAAAGACGCGCCATGTTGAATGTGGAAATTGTTTAATCCACTCCAATCCAGCCCGGCAATTACAATTACAGGGCCCGACATCGTCCGTGGTCAGCTGCATGAAATTGGAACTCCGACCGAGGGATACGGGGCGGATGAACTCGTTGGGACAGAAGACAGAAGTGTCCACGCCGCTCCCAGAAAAAAAGAACAGCCTGAAAAGATAAGGAAAAACCTATTTGCATTTTATTTTCTTTGTAATTTGATGCTCGATTGCTTTTTTTAGTGTGTAATGAGGTGGGCTGCAAATGGGTTTAATATACACATTCAACTAACACAAGACAAGAGTCCGACGACAAAGTTAAAAGAACTTATCCCACGCATGGTTGGTCCTTTTTCCATTAAGCCACCGCGAATACTTTTAAAATGTAAGTCTTACAAAGCTAAATCGATTTAATTTTTTCTCTACAATTAGATTTGCATCAGTAATTTGAGGCTAAGATTAAGAAATGTTCGTCTATATAATAAGTAAATAGAATGAACATACGATTTATAAATTGTATAATTAAAGTTTCAAGTTATGATATGTTAATTCTTTGCCTTTATTTTTCAAGCCAATAACGAATTAATATAATATAAAGTAAAATCGAAAAATAAATGGCGCAATTACCATATTAAAAAAATCAACAGCACTTCAAAAATAAGCTTAGAAGAACTTCCGTTTACTAAATTTAGATTTCTATTAGATCTATTTTAATAATAAATAATATAATTTAAAGTGAACTCGAAGAGATCGCATAAAATTTAAATACATATTCTAAATTTTGCTTACGTTCATTATCATTATGGTTTTTGTATTTGTACTTGTCCAAAATAGCCGAATAATAAAGCAGAGCCTGTGGCTGCCATTCGGAAATTTTCATTCCATGGCACGCACGATTGCATTCACAGAAGCCGGAGAATGTTTAGGCGCCATTCGAGGAAGCTGCCATTGCGACGTGCAAATTGATCAAAATAAATTGCATAAAATATTCCATTTACGTTCCCATTCCGAGTGGAGCTGCCCCGAAAATTATTGTAAGCATCTAATGCAATCAGAAAGTGTTGCAACGCCTTGGGGCCGATGGGGCAAAACAATGCGCATCTACATCTACCCATTAATTTGCCTCCCAACTGGCCGAGCAGCGTTTCTGTTTTGAGTTATGCTCGGAATTTGTGATAAGCTATGCGGATTACGGACTGGAAATACCAAGGAAACTGAGCTTTCTTTTCCGGAACTTTCTTTGCCTGTGGAACGTGAAAGGGGATTTCTCGTGGGGGGGGATGGGTGGAGATTATTTTAGCAGTCGGGTGAATACCTCTTGCATGCTGTTAAAATAATTAGTAGCAAACGGCAGCCAGGCTGGTACAAAGCCAAAAGTAAAGCTTGGCCAGGAGCAGCACTGCCAAAATTGGAACTGCAACAAAAGAGTTGATTATTTACCCACGTGCACAAAGTTTTCCTCACGTGCACTTCCCATATGCAAATACATCAGCCAGTCATTAAATTAATTAAAAAGAGCTCTTTCCGTGAAATGACTGTGCGAAAACTTTCATTTCTACCTGGATCCGGTGAACCGAGTATTTTGTTCAGGTGTTTTCTGAACCATTTCAACTTTCAACCAATTGAATTCAAACGCACTCTGCTGAATCATAAGCCCACAAACGAGCTTAACGTGCATTTTCACACTTTATACGCATATTTGTAAAATAATGATTAAATAAACGCTCACCCTGGTCTTAATTACTTAGTTAAATACTTAACCGGAGTGCGATAATCAAAAATTATTTGAGCCCAAATGCATACTAGACGACTACTTACGTAAATATATCTTTCACCAAAAAAGTAAGTAATACCATTTATAACAGTTTGAATAAGTGTACTTGCCCTATATGACAATCTTTAACGACGTAAAAATAATCTTAAACGGTTATCTAAAAATAGGAACAACCCTTAGTTGTTGTTCAGTTCCCAATGGTTTTATTTTTTCCACGAAAACTATCCCCCAAAATGTTGGGGAGAGTTCAACGTACTTGCCCCCAAAGGCGAGAGACCTCAAAGGAATTGCCAGCCTCCAGTTTCTGGTGTTGATGATTCTGTTTCAAATCCTCCCACATGGCAATAAACTGAAGCATAAGATTTGCTAATAACAATGATATAAGGCATTCGCCCAAATGAGTATATAATAAAGCTAATGGAAAATTATGGAGACTGGGGCTTAGACTTGGAAAAGTTCATTTCGGGGGTGACATCACACAGAAATGGATACATAACACATTACAAGAACCGTCGGACAATTAATGGGATGCTGTTTGATTATTTTGCACTCTGACATTCCTCAATATCGGTATGATTAAATTTCACACTGAAAAATTATGTCGAGTGTTAAATTCAAGAGGAAGCAATTTAGCGTTATCGCTGGGAATGTTTGAAATGGCATTCCGACTACGAATATTTATTACCTGCACATATTGCAGAACTAAACATTATCGGAGGAATGGGTCTTAATGGTCTATTAAGGTGTTTGGCCGGCGATTTAAATGCAATTAAATGGAAGGTCTTCCAATTCTTTACGGCCCTAAAAGTGCTACAGTAGACTGGTGGGCCGGGTGTTCAATTAAAATAAATGAAATGGCCGAAAAGAGTGGCTCGTAAAAATGATAAACGCGTAAAATGGGACCGGGCCGTCATCAATAAATGCCTTCAACTGACATTTATTTATGAACGCTAATAACTTTTAAAGCTTTTCATTTAACTCAAATACAAATGGCCACCGCTAACACTTGATATGAGGGTGGGGGGTGGCGAGGGAAGATGGGGAGATGGGGCGAGTCTGACATGTTTTGGCGGTTCTTTTGCACTGCATATACACAAACTTCCCACAAACACAGGAACACAAAATGTCAACTTTTTGCCAACCGAAAATTGTCAAATGCACAGAATTTTAAGCGCCATACATTTATGTTGATGCGGTTTAAAAGTTTTTTAATTACATTTGCAGGAGACCCGAACCACCCACCAAAAAAACAACGACAGCAGCCAGATCCTTTCGTCCACCCATCCGAAAAACACATCCACATTCGCGTCATTCAGAGTATATTTTACGCTTTATGATTGTATTTGGCTGGGAGAATGTTTAAAACTCATTTAATTTGAAACAAATTAGGAACGATAACACACAAAAGTGAGTCGTTGTGCTCGTTGCAGAAGCGGTACTCTTCTCCCCCCTCTGGTTCTTATTTTGGCTCTAATGGTGTGTGGTTGTAGCCAAAATATGAAAATTGCACTTAAAGTGGTTTTTTGTTTTGAATTAGTTGGCAAGAGCTTAATAAACACAACAACTATTAACCTACCTAGTTAGAAAGCGCACGTTTGAATTCCTTGTAGTCGGCTTTAGTTTGGAGAACAATAAACATTATACTTGTCATAAACAAGCATTTTTTTTATGTATTGTAAAAGGGGCCTTATTTAGTAGTCTTTATTTTAGTTGTTTTTAAAATGAAATCGGGAAATGGCGTTTGCATCAATAAACCAACCTGTTAAAGCCTTCTTTACCGAATAACTAACCCGAAACCAATATATGTGGTATAGTACTTTAGTTTTATCTCAGCTTAGTTAAATATATTTCTATTTAATTAGTTCTAATATATTACTTTTTTCTTCACAGTTTTCGATTTCTCGTCTATTAAAGACACTACGTGGGAAATGATCATTAGCCGATGACAAGCAAAAAGTGCTCCTTGCATATCCATTAACCCATTTAATTTCAGCAGTGGCTCCACATTTTCAACACCCACTCACACACATTGGCCCTCTTGTCACTTGCTTGTCAATCATCCATCAAAGCCCCACAGAAACCCATCAGGACTGTGAAAACTGGGGGCTACTTATCTTCACATCGAATGCTCGCAGAAACAGAAACTAATTGCTAAAACGCCTTGATGCCTGTGTAAGCAGTGGGGATTATGTAAAGACACTGGCAACGAAGAATCCTATCTCTAACCCTGAATCATAAAAATGTTTAGACAACAAACTGAGGCTAGGCGGGTCATCATTCATTTGACCCAAGTAAATATGGCCACGCCATCGAGTGAATGCTATCACATTTTTGGGATCTACTTTGACCCAAATGTGTGGTGGCTTGGAGCATTGCCAGGAGCTGGGGAGGCCCCAATCCCTGCTGACTAAGGATAGTTTAAAACACAACAAAAATTATTAATAAGCTGCTAAGCCTTTAGAGACTCAATCTTGGCTGAATGAAAGCCGAAAAGATGCATGCATAAGAACCAGACGAAAAGCTCAAAATCGCAAGTTGGCATTGCGAGGTTGTTTCGCTTCACGTATCTAAGTAAGGGGAAAATGAACCATTAACTAAAAATGGTAATCGGATTCAGGGCTAAAATCCATCATCTCGAATCGATTTAATACCGACTGCCAGAGACAGCGAGCCAACAGTTTCGATTTCAAGGGATTCCAAACAGCTTTCGATCAGCAACATGAAAGTATTCCTTGTTTTTGCCGCCGTTGCTGCTCTAGCCTACGCAGCTGCTGTGGTAAGACAATAGCTAAAGATCCAGCTCACTTGTGAAAACCTATTTCTTTCCCAACAGGGGCTAACGAATGAAAAGATCGTCGAAATTAGGCAGAAGGCTAAGGCCTGTATCGAACAGGAAGGTATCACCAAGGAGCAGGCCAATGCCCTAAAGGCAGGAGACTTCACGGACACCGATCCCAAGGTGAAGTGCTTCGCCAACTGTTTCCTGGAGAAGTCCGGATTCGTGATCAATGGACAGGTGCAGCCCGCTGTCGTTCTGGCCAAATTGGGACTGTTGGTCGGTAAGGACCTCGTGAAGGACGTTCAGGCCAAGTGCGATAGTGTTATGGGGGCGGATAAGTGCGACACCAGCTTCCAGCTGTACAAGTGCTACAGAACTAAGTTACCTGCCCATTTTGAAGAAGAAATTAAAAAGATCTAAATTTATTCTGAACTGCAAAATAATACTTTCGTTTTTTATGAAATATATGGTTTGTTTTTATTTGTAATCAGTGGCAAAGGAATTGGGTTTCGATAAATTTTGAATTTTCCAAGACCGTTTAAGCAATTAAATTTATTAATTTCTTTATTACGTGTAAAAAATAGCATGCCCTGGAACCAAGTCTGTACTATGGCAATATGATTATAACAAAGATTAGATTAACTTTAACAAAACTAATAAGCGTGAAATCATTCTGAAAAAAGCGTTCAATCATAAATTACAAGCCTTTTAGGCGTTGGAAGTCAACTATTAAAAACACACCAGTTGTATTTGCTTTCTGTATAGAAATACGAAATGAAAACGTCGCTTGTCTTGGTGTTCATACTTGGGCTAATAGCACTGTCAACTTCCCAAGTAAGTAAAAACCTCTCTGGCGTCTGCTTTCTATATTTTTTTTAAAATTTACAGAAGTTAAAAGAATTAGAAGGACTCAAAAATGTCGTTGACTGTGCAAATGAGGTAAAAGTTTCACTGGATGACGTCGTTCTATATCTAAATTCTGGCACAAAAATATTAAAAGATTACAATATTAAGTGCTTTTTGAAGTGTTACTTCTATCGAGAGATCTTATTTAAAATGGCCGCTGATGAATTGAAAAAGAGAAACATAACTGACCCTTGTCTTTTGATCAAGGATGCTGATAATTGCGAGGAAGGCTCTAAGAAGTTTTTGTGCTATTACCAAAGAATCAAATAAAACTTCTTTATTTATTTTTAACTGCAATGAAGTATTTGTGTATTCTAATCTTTCCTGGGTATCAACCAATCTGGAGAAAGCATAAAATCGTTAATAGGCGTGCAGATTTTTGCTTGAATGAATCTATTTAAAGCACATCGGCAGTATCGTTGATCTGTATTGTATCTGGAAAAAGCATAAAATCGTTAATAGGCGTGCAGTGTTTTGAAACTATTTAATGTACATCTGCAGTATCACAAGTCTGTATTGAATTATAATGAACAAAATTAACGTGTCCTTCGTTTTGGTATTCCTAGTCGGTTTATTAGCGCTGTCAACTTATCAAGTAAGAAACACTTTTTCAGGCATTAGCTTTCTTTATTTTTCAATAATTTCAGCATTCAATGATATTTAAACCATTCGAGCCTGTGCCTTTCTGTTTTAATGAGGATAACGTTCCAGTTCCAGTTCCAGATAAAAACTTAAAAAAAGATTCCAATATCAAGTGCTTCCCAAGTGCTTTCTCTACAATATATAAAAAAAAAACAGATAAAACCATAGGCGCAGTTTTTCGCTTGGAATAATCTATCTAAAGCACAGCGGCAGTTTCTGAAAGTTGAATTGAACCACGATCTACAAACTTTACGTGTTGCTTGTTTTTGTGTTCTTAGTTGGGAATATTGATTAAAAAATACTTAACTATACGAATTTTTATACCCTTGCAGAGGGTATTTTAGTTTCAGTCAGAAGTTTGCAACGCAGTGAAGGAGACATTTCCGACCCTATATAGTATATATATTCTTGATCAGCATCACTAGGATAGTCGATCCAGCAATGTCCGTCTGTCTGTTTTTTTATTTCTTCGACAATTAGTAACGGTTAAATACTTCAGAATTACGGCTTAAATTTCATCAAAATCGTATGACTATATCATATAGCTCCCATAGGAACAATTGGAAAAAAAATAAAAAAAGAATTATAACTTTGCTGTTTTTTAATTACTTTATTTAGTTCTTCGACATATAGTAATGGGTAAGTATTTCAGAATTACGATTTTAATTTCATCAAAATCAAACGACTATATTATATAGTGGACACGTGGACACAATAAAAAAATATACAAACATTTTTTTTAAATGTAACTTTTCTATTTTGTAATTTTTTTTTAAATTCTTTTTGTCTTATTAATAATTTGACAGTTCACGATTAAGCTTTTAATTTTATTGAAATCGAAAAACAATATCATATAGCTGCCATAGGAATTATCGGATAATTAAGCTGCAAATCATCATAGCTTCAATGTTTTTAAACATATAAGAAAGTAAATCCTAATATTTTCAAGAATATTTCGTTTTTGCAATAGCTGCAAGCGTATATAAACTTCGGCTTGTCGAAGTTTGCTTCCTTTCTTGTGTTTCTATAAGCTAAATTAAGTGTTTGTTTTCTTTGGCCAAGCAGTCTCTGATTTTAGCTTTATGCTACAATGGTCTTTACTGTCAGTTTTTTCCTCCAGTTGGAAAAAAATCATCAAGCTGATAGTTCAAAAGTTTTCGGATCAAAATTTATTAGAAAATATTTTGTATCTCGGTTAAAAAATTCAATATTTCGTTTGCGTAAATATGTCGAGCTACAGAAAAGTATTCCGGGCAGAGCGTCTTATGAATCTCCTCAAGGCGAACCGTGGAATGACCAGTACAACAGGCAGACAACCAATCTTTGATGTGGAGACCAGGAAGGACTTTGAGCAGCGGGTGATCAACAGCGATCGACCTGTGGTTGTGGATTTCCATGCCAGGTGAGTGCGTTTTTCAGGCAATTCAGGCATAGGATCGACGATTACCAATATTTCCTTTTTACCAGTTGGTGCTGCCCTTGCAAGGCTCTTGCCCCGCGGTTGGAGAACATTGTGTCCGAGCAGGGCGGTCGGGTGAGGCTAGCTCGCGTCGATATTGATGAACATGGGGAGCTGGCCTTGGACTACAACGTGGGTTCAGTTCCATCCCTGATGGTCATCAGTAAAGGCAAGGTGGTAAATCGCATGGTTGGGCTCCAGACCAGCGAATACATTCGCAAGTGGCTCCAAAAAGCGGTGCCCCATTCGGAGAAGTAGTTCAGGATGTCAATCAAGTGTGGGAACACGTACTTTGTAGACTAGATTAAAGTTTGATTAAACCTTCTTCGCGATAACACGTTTTTAATTAATTTTCGATTAAACAAGTCCTCTTTTAGGTGTATGTCTTCTTTAGGTGTATGTGTATGTACACAGAAAAAAAATGTTTCAGATTTGATTTCGTCAAATTTTGTATGTGCAACGAAATCTTACCAGTCTTAAACAATCCGGATGATTTTCTACTTAGTTAAACTGGTCTACGAATCGAAGAATTAATCTAAAATAAATGTAAAAAAAAAATGGATTCCGTAGTTTTCTAACCCATAGTACCTTAAAAGTAGTTTTATTGAATTCAAGTTGCATTTATTGTATATAAATAAAGGCATTTTTAGTCGAAAATATAACTTGCTCTATATTTGCAACTGCACTTTCGATTTCTAAAGAGTTTTTCTCAGTGCTTCCTTGCTCAAATAGCTTCCGCTCCTGTTTCCCAGTGGCGGCAATTCAAAATGCAAACAAAGTCTCGTCTCGTGCTCAAACAATTTGCGGATCGGCGCCGGTCGACGACAGGGGAATGGGAAAGGATACCGGCAGCAACAAATACAATGTGTATCTCAATTGTTTGCGTATTTGTTTGCCAAAAACAACAAACTTATTCGCTCCCCGTTTGTGTGCTCTTGTATGTGTCTATCCCAGCTGTCTTAGAGATGGCAATGCACGGGGGAATGTCTCTAATTGATTTTGGTAATGTTGCTTTTTAATGAAGTGTCAAATGTGCTGATAGCGATGATGCATGCGATGTCGAGCAGCATCTAACTCCCTTAGGAGCGCAAAAGAAACACAATTAATGCCGTCTGCAGTCGGTAGTTAATTATAGACACGAAATAAACTGAATGCATATGAAGAAAACACATTTTATAATAATATACAAAGACTGCACGTTTAAAAGATTTCAAGGGTTTGATCATAGTCCAAAAAGTAAAAAAATGTAACTTGGAAAAAAACTAGAAAAAAAAGTCTAAAATTAAATCTTGGGATAGATAAGCACCCCCTAAAAGGCTGATCTAAGAATAGAAATTCAAGATATGAGTTGCTGTAAACTCACCCTCGAGACTGCCAGCGCCACGAAGGCCCATTAGCTCAGTTGGTTAGAGCGTCGTGCTAATAACGCGAAGGTCGCGGGTTCGATCCCCTCATGGGCCACGATCAATTTTTTATTTTTTTTTCATTCATTTTATTTTATTTGTTTTGTTTTCCAACCGAAATCACATTTCACAATTAAAATCGTAACGCAAAAGTGTTGACAATGTACGGTCCAAAGTGAAGTTTGTTTGTCCCGGACCCACAAAATAGATTTGCCGCAATGTAATTGAGTATTTGTATTCAATTAAGACTTATTTCAATATTTGCATAAATACACCAGTGCCGAAGCGCCAGACAACCAGCAGACATGAGAGTCGAGTCGAGTGGAGTGCAGTGTAGTCCAGTTGAGTCCTCGAGCGGATATAAATCCCTCATATGCTCGGGCATAATTTGGTGAAACGTAACTTGGACAAACAGTCGAGATTCGGGTGGATGGCGTGGGGATGCGAATGCTCTTCAGCGTGGACAACACCCGGACCAAATCTCTGGGACGTCGACGAGGTGTGAGTGCATGTGTGCACACTGTCTGATTTTGACAGCCCGCATAAAGCGAGCAAAGGACTCTGGCGACACGACGAGTCCTCGCTGCCTAGGTAAACACTCGCAGGAAGGGCCGGCTAAATGCATTACCCCCTTCCACCATGCGGTGCTTGGAAATGGCGACACAAACTGCAACAAATATTAATTTTTATTATACAAACATTGCTTTAATTACATTATTTTTGCGTACACGCCAGCCAAACAAACTTTCCCCACTTCACGTGTGTGGCCAGCTCTTCAGTTCCCCTCATCGCCCTGATCAATCACTGGAAAATTGGATTTTCATATGTGCAGCACTGTCTCCATCACTCTCTCTCTATTTTCCCCATCTCTTTCGGTCGGAGTTTATGCAATTTCCGATACCCACAGTTGCCTTGTGGCTGCAAAAATCAATCGCTGCCCCTCACCCAAACAGCAGCCGTCCATCGTTTGACAAGCACAAACACAAACTTAATCAGTACCCATGGATTGGTCAATAATTTTTAAATACAAATCAAGTGTTAACTGGGGGCTTAATTGTGGGTTGGCCACCGAACAAGCGAAAAAACACGAATTCACCTATGGAAATCGACTTGTATGGTTATTTTTTATACCCTTGCAGAGGGTATTATAATTTCAGTCAGAAGTTTGCAACGCAGTGAAGGAGACATCTCCGACCCTATAAAGTATATATATTCTTGATCAGCATCACTAGGCGAGTCGATCTAGCCATGTCCGTCTGTCCGTCTGTCCGTCCGTCTGTCCGTCTGTCCGTCTGTCCGTCCGTTTATATGCAAACTAGTCTCTCAGTTTTAAAGCTATCTGCATGAAACTTTCCCAAAAGTTGTCTTTCTATTGCAGGTAGTATATAAGTCGGAACGAGCCGGATCGGACGACTTTAGCATATAGCTCCCATAGGAACAATCGGAAAAATAAATGAAAAAAAATTATAACTTTGCTGTTTTTTAATTTTTTGTTTAGTTCTTCGACATATAGCAATGGTTAAATATTTCAGAATTATGGTTTAAATTTCATCAAAATCGGACGACTATAGCATATAGCTCCCATAGGAACAATCGGAAAAATAATTGAAAAAAAATTATAACTTTGCTGTTTTTTAATTTTTTGTTTTGTTCTTCGACATAAAGCAATGGTTAAATATTTCAGAATTATGGACGACTATAGCATATAGCTCCCATAGGAACAATCGGAAAAATAAATGAAAAAAAATTATAAATTTTCTGTTTTTTAATTTTTTGTTTAGTTCTTCGACATTTAGTAATGGTTAAATATTTTCGATTTACGGTTTAAATTTCATCAAAGTCGGACGACTATATCATATAGCTCCCATAGGAACAATAAAAATATATAAAATAACTATCAAATAATTGAGCTGCAAATCATCATAGCTTCAATGTTTTTAAACTTATACGCAAGTAAATTATAATTTTAATGTTTTCAAAAATGTTTAATTCTTGCAATAGCTGCAAGGGTATATGAACTTCGGCTTGCCGAAGTTTGCTTTCTTTCTTGTTTTTTGATAAGTTAAATTTGTTAAAGGCTTACTCAAAAAAAGTTCGTTGATTTGGTTCAGCGTTTTTTGCTGGGTTTTATTGAACAAATTTATTTTGATTTATTGCCTGAAAAATAAGGTTTCCCCATTAAAGAACACTTTAAAATCAGATCGAAGGGATTTTCTAATTAGTATAAAAATTATATAATATTAAAACATCTAAAACAACTTTTCTAGAATAATTTTGCAAATCTAATTTTCAAGTTTTTTTTTAA